AGCCACTTCATCAAGCCTCAGTATCTAAACTAGACATTAAGGAACGCCTACCACCTTATCCAAATCCAGAGACATACATAAAGTACACATATGTACAGACAGAACCTAAGTTATACACATATAAATAGAGGAATTGCACTTGTGATATATATGGTAGAGAAAAAAATCATTGCACTGAGAGATTACATTTGAAACTGTGATATATAATATATTGGAGATCAGAGATGGCGCCATACTAACGGGTGCCTGGTGTAGCAGCTCCCGGTATCACTGTCGTTTTTGTTTGTTTTTATTATGTTTATCGTGTATTTTTTATCTTCTGTATTTTGTCTCTGTGGATCACTGGGAGCCATGCCGGCAATACTCGCCAGTATTCTTTACAACCGCAACCAGCTGATAGCCCTGAATTACACCACCCTCTTGGCCGGAGAGAGACCCACCATACCAGAGGAGCTAAAGAGGAGACGGCGAGGCTGCATAGCGGGGGTTAAACAGAGGATGGAGAAGAGGAAGTTTAAGCCCTTCATCCCTGCAGTCATCACTGGAAACGTGAAATTGTTGGCAAATAAAGTGGACAAACTGGAAGCGCTCGCTAGGACACAGAGGGAGTACAGGAAGTCTAGAATCATGTGTTTCACGGAAACGTCACCGTTCCCGGCTTCCAGACGGTTCGAGCAGACAGAGACACCACCGCAACTGGCAAGAAGAAAGGAAGGGGCCTTGCCGTGCTTGTGAACAACAGGTGGTGTCACCCCGGGCACATCACTGTTAAAGAGCATTCTGCAGCCTGGACATCAAGCTTGTCACCGTCGGACTTTGTCAATATTATTTTCAGAGGGAGTTTACCAGTGTCTTCGCCATCACTGTTTATATTCCTCCATCTGGAAACGCAGAAGCAGCGTGTGACATCATCCACACTGTGTCTGCTGGATTACAAACACAACACCCTGGGGCCTTTGTCATCATCACAGGAGACTTCAACCATGTTTCTCTCTCATCCACACTCCCAACCTTCTTCCAGTTTGTCAAATGTACCACCGTGAAAATAAGACTTTGGACCTGTTGTACGCAAATGTTAAGGATGCGTACAGCTCCACTGCCCTGCCACCACTGGGTAGGTCAGACCACAACCTACTCCTGCTCTCACCATCATACAAGCCTGTGGTTCAGCAGCACCCAGTCACAGTGAGGACAGTGAGGAAATGGTCTCCTGAGGCCATGGAAACACTGCATGGAGCGCTGGAGGCCACAGACTGGGATGCTCTGTATGAGCCACATGGTGAGGACATTGATGGCCTGACTGACTGTGTCTCTGAGTACATTGAGTTTTGCCTAGGCAAAACCATCCCCACTAAAGAGGTGCGCTGCTACCCAAACGACAAACCGTGGGTAACCAGCGACCTGGAGGCCCTTCTCAATGAGAAGAAGAGGGCCTTTAGATCAGGGAACAGAGCAGCATGAAGGTCATGGAGAGACTGGTCCTGGCACAACTCAGACTGCGGTGCCCATCACAAGACCCCCTGCAGTTTGCATATCAGCCCCATGTTGGGGTTGATGATGCAATCATCTACCTGCTGCAGAAGGCTTACTCCTCCCTGGACAGACCCAACACCTCAGTCCGGATCATGTTCTTCGACTTCTCCAGCGCCTTCAACACCATCCAGCCCAGACTGCTGAATGCCAAACTGGAGAACATGCAGGTGGGTGCTCCCCTCGTCACTTGGGTCGATGACTATCTGACGGGCAGACCGCAGTTCGTGATATTACAGAACTGCGTGTCTGAT